TCAGAAGCAAAACAAGGGGCCATCTCAGCACTTGCTGAAGGATCAGGGAAGCTGGACGAAAACCTGATCGAGATGGGGGTCGATTTCCAGTCCCTTTCCAGTTAACTTCGCGAAAATTTGGATCACCAGCGATGACAACCGGTTGGCCGTGCATAGTCTCTGCCCTGTAGTCGATTGTTTCCAAAATGTCATTCGGCTGTGGATAGCATGAAATTTCCACTGAACTTCCCAATACATCGTTCCCTAAACCTGGCATTTCGAAATACTTTTCTGTCAATATCTTACAAATATTGATAATGTCTGAACGCAAAGAAAAACTCCTAGTGCGTGTGTGTCTCCCCCTCTCCCCCCCTGGTTGTGACCCCCTGGTTCACGGTGTCAATCAGCGGTTGCCTTTTCGGTGAGTTAGAAGCACTGTGCACGACGATTCCTTCGGCATCGTTTTGCCAACCTTTCCGCGACCGACTGCATTTCCACAATATGCGTCATGCATGATTCGATTTCCATGTCCACTTCGGAAAATACAAAAGCATTTTAAGGAAAGTAATAGTATGGGCAAAAAATACGATATTTTGAATGCTAATAACTGCAGCATTATGGAATATCGTAAAAAATAATTCTGGAAACTTTGTAGAGGACAGTGTTTTAAAGTAAAATGACAGAAAAGTGTGAGTTTCGGGAAATATCGCAATTCTTCAACACTTTTCTGGAATTGCGGTTGGTTTCATAGACTAAAACCACAAAACTCATTTGAGAATAACATTTTGCTTTCAAAATTACCTTCATATGGAATTCGTGATATTGCTCTAGACTGATATTCTCGCACCTTCAATATCAATCGCAGAGAGTACAAAAACGAACTGGCCCGAAAGAACATTATTCACCCATTCACACAATTCTTTGCCAATGTACAAGTGATCCCACAGGGCTCTTAGGGCCTATCTGGGCCCTATACGCCCTCGTTCATTGGAAACTGAAGAACAGTTCTGTTTGCTGATAACGGGAATGTTCTTTGCAAAAAGAAACAAATATTACGATTTCAGATGTTTTAAACTGTTTCCCTAATAAAAAAATTGATAGTAAACGAAAGAAATACGATTTCAACGCAGTTTCACATTTCAAACAGGCAATCGCATGCGCCGTTGAAAATCAACATAAAAATGACTGATGTTAAGATAAAATTTCTGAGTCTATCAATTCAGTCAAAGCTCAAATGGAATACACAGGGTGTCCTGGGTTGAGATATCGAAACATCGAAAATAAGCTCTGAAGTCAATTTTAAGCATATTTTGTCTAATAAACTTCTTAGAGATTTCGAACGGTTGAGATACAATAAGTACTCAGAAGTTGATTTGAAAAAAGGCTTTCTTTGCAAAAATTTGCATTTCAGAAACAGGTAAATTTTTTATTTACAAAAGAAATTAATTTATTTGTCTCCAAAGAAAAGTTTACACAAATAAAGAAGCACCCAATCTAAACAATTCAATTGCATACATAAGTATACTGGCCTGCATAGATAAAAATGTTTATTTAGTCTCTAGCAATAAAAATAAAATGCTTCTATACTCCTGCTTATAAGCAGGTCTACTTGGACTTAAACTGCCGTTGAGTAGCATGAGGGGCATACAAAAATGAATACCTTAAAGTCAATTCTCTAACCAAGAAAATAAACAGCAATTTAAAAAGCCTGCAAATCATATCACTTACACTCAAGATAATTGCTTTTGCCATTCATTATAATGTTTGGTGAAAAGAATCATTTTCACTTCAAGCAGCTAAAAAATCTTTACTTTAAAGAAAAGTAAACTCAATAAAGAAAACACACACATACATTTTTACATTTTAATTTTTTTGCTATAAAAATATGACAAAAAATTCATGATAAGATTTGAACGAATATTCTATATCCTGCATTTAAACTGATATTTGTTTTCTGATGCGCAAAATGTTTGTGTACATAAAATAACCAAAAACACAATTTCTTTCGAATATAAGGGACTGCAAGTATTATTTTAACCCTCAGTATGATATTGTACATGCAATGTTCAACATTCAAGCAAAGAATGATCTCTTTATATCAAATAGACATGATAAAGAAAATACTTTTAGAAGTGGAAAAGGCACTCATAGGACAAATAAGTCGTGAAATGATGAAATACATGATGATTACATGAAAAAGCATGACACTATCACTTGAATCAAAAGACAGCACAAAATAAACACATCAATTTCCTTTTTGGGAGCATTTCATTCTTGAAGAATTTTGCTAAAAAGAATTAACAAAATGTTGAAAAAATATTTGTTCAAAAACAATCGATTTCCCAACAAAACATTGTTCACCGAGAATTGAGTTGCAAAAAAATTCCTTAATGCTTGAAGAAGTATATACTAAGTGACAAATCTCTTTTATTATAGTGAATTCCTTCTCATCAACTGTGTTACTCTAAATAGCAACTAAGACAAAACTTTTTTTTTCTTTTTCCAGACAATACAATGAATCAGCCTTTCACTCGAAACTGCAAAAATACGGAGGAATTACGTGAAAAAATAGCTACACAGATTATCATAATTCTTCTTGGCTCATTCTTTCCCTCTCAAGTGTTTCTGGACAATTTTAAGAATCTATGGCTCTTTTAGTATTTATTCTTCATATCGCCAAGTTACTTGTTCCATTATAAGTAGAAATTGGACAAAGAATATTACTAGACCCTTCCAGCAGCAATTTCCTTTCTCTTTCCAACACTGTATCCTGTACCGGGATGGATTGAATTTTCCTTTCCATAGTGGTAAGCCACCTTAAGACGGAAGGGACCTTTACATGTTTTTTTTCTCATTTGCGGTGTACCGTCTACAGACACTGGTTGCTTGGCGGAGCCGTGCACAGAAAAGCAGTGTGTTACGGCGCGTTATGGGTTTCTTTTCATGAGTTTTAATGCAAATATATGAATACTGATTGAAACATTTCTATTTCTTTGTAGATGTTTTTTAAAGAAACAATTAATTTATAATACATCATCTTCCATGTATTATACGAATCATATGAAATTATTGCGACTGTCAGACATACTATAAATAAAACAATAGAAATTGCTCTGAATTTAATTAGCCATTGCTAAATAAGGGCCACACTTTATGGATGGACAATTACTACAACTCTCCCTCATTAGCAGCGATGTTAAAAAATGGGAACAGATTGTGTAAGAACATTACATTTGAACAGAAAAAATGTTCTTCAAATATTGCGGGAAAAGAAATTGAAGTGAGGCGAGTCCATTGCCCACAACATGGGCCCCGTTTCAATGTTGATATGGATGGATAAAAAGCTGTTTCTATGATAAGCACCTATCACAAGGATGAATTCAAAACAGTCTTTACAAAGAGAAAAGAAGAAATTAAAAATCCTCTTTGTGTTCATTACAATAAATCCATAGGATGGGTAGATCTGAAAGATCAGTACTTGTAAATATATCTTATTGAAAAGAAGAAAAGCAAGAAATGGAATGTGAAAACATTCAGAAGTTAATTACATATCACTGTATAGAATACATTTATTATCTGAAAAAAGAATCACACTGGGACAAGAATAGAAATCTTTAAAATTCTGTATTGATCTGATCAAGCAACTGTTATCTGCTCATTCACATGACAAAAGGGCAGTATGTAAATGTCGCTTGGAGAGTTATTTACATTGCTTGTCAGGAAGACACTTTCATGAAAAAATTCCACCTCAAGGTGACAAAATTAAACAACAGAAATGACATGTGGTATGTCACAAAAGTGGGAGATGAAAAAGTCTACATTCAGGAGCCCAGATTGAAAGGTTTACTTTACCTGACACTTGTTTTAAAAGCTATCATACCATAGAAAATTATTAGGAGTATCTGCAAAGAAAATTAGTGTATCTTATTTTTATTTATGTTCTACTCTTAATTTGATGATGTAACAGAATGAAAGTGTTGTTTTAATTTTCCATTTCCTCAATGTCATTATTATTTAATCATTATCATTGTTTATAATATAATTGAAGATGTGAAGCAACGCATTCTCAGGAATGAGCACATTTTCAGAGTTGAAAAGCGGAACGCCGCCCGAACCGAGATGCTCCCGCAGCAGGACTTGGTGGATGCGCTCAAATTGCGACTGCCCCCGCAGTGCTGCTGATCGCACCTTTCACTTAAAGCTGTCTTCGTGCTACTGTGCTCACTCACGGCACTGCGTTGATGGGTTAAAGGACATCATGTTCCCTTTTTCTGACTTGCACGCCTTCACAATTTTGCCTCAAGCATTTCATGATATTTTTTGGGGAAGAAAACAAAAAACGATCAGGAGTTTTAATCTTCAAAAGCAAGAAGCTTTTGTTTCTCACAAACAATGATGTGTTTGGAAGGTTGTCATAAGTGCTCATTGCAAGCCTTCAACTGTACAAGGAAGGGAAGGTATGCCATTGGTCAAGAAAAGTTGTTCAGGTAATATTCTACTTTTTTTTAAAACAAGTTTTGAAAATCAAAACTATTTATAACATTCTTTGTCACAAGGCAAGAAGATAGTGTAAGCATCATTTTAAAAAATGAAACAATATTATTTTACCAGGAAAAAACAAACAAAAAAGGCTAATTCTTTAAAAATTCTCAAACCGGTCAATATTTATTATCACTGCAAAAAATTTTTAGTTTCATTATCTTTTCTATTGTCATGCTCTTTAAGCAGTATAATTCTGACTTATGGCTTAAGAAACAATACATTTCATATGAAATTCAAAAGGTCAAAGAAAACAAAGATTTCTTTTAAGAAGATGAAGGAGGAAGCAGAAGGTATGCAAATAACATTACTTTCACCTTCCAGCATCTAAGGCAAAGATAGAAATGGCTAGATATTGTAATAAATTGCCTACAGCAAATGTAAAGAAGAGCACCAAAACAATTTTCTGTTCACAACCATGGATTATCATGCAATATTATTTTCTTTTAATGATATTAACGTTCTTTCAATTTTTTACTCACCTGGATCTTGCAGCTTCGCAAGCAACACTTCCAAATTTTCAATCTCCTCTTCCTTGGGAGAATGAATAACTATCACAGTGGAACCCAGAATGCACAAAAAGCAACCCATCTAAAATCAAAATTATATTAAGAATTGTTTAGTAAAAACAAACAGAATCGACAAAAAATTTTGTGTTTAAATACAAAAACCAAGTGACTTATTATTATTCAGATAAAAATTTAGATTGCATCACTTAATGTGTACTCACTTTTCCTAGTAAATTAAGTTTTTCATTCAAAAATCTTGATGCCAAAACTGCTGCAACTAAAACACTCAGAGCACCAAGAGGCGTTACAAGTGATGCTGGTGCAAAAGCATATGCAGCAAAGTTTGCTGCTTCTCCAATGCCCACTGTAATGATGAAAATGGTAAAATATTTGTCATTTAACACATTTATAACAACGATTTGTCCCCACTTACTTGAAAGAAGGCCCGCCCACCAAATCCATTCCTTCAAATAGCCAAATCCACCTGCACCAGCACGAACTGATCCTCCTCGATTGAGTCTTAATAAAGCAATTTTCTTTATTATAAAACTTGAGCCTGTTAAAATAATATAACAGCTATGTGAATAGCAACATTTTATAACATTTCCATTGTAAACTTAAAACACATGTAGATTTTAATATTCAGCAAATTATTATCAGGTTCTCAGTACTGTATATTTACCTATGAAAATACAAGAACTAACTGCCAAACCCAATCCTATATAAAATTCAGTAACATTATAAGGTTGGCCCAAGGCGGCCGGGTCAGAAGTTTTGTCTGATGACATTTTGATACACTTTATCTGCAAGAAGTAAAAGAGTATATATTTCATTACAAAATATACACCGCCGCATATTTAAACAAAAACATTTTAATATTAGCGTTCATATACGCATATTACATAACATACCAGTCGCGTCTTCTAGTAAATATCAACTTGAAAGACACTAGTGACAATGTTTAAATATATGAACACTAATTATGTTCTAGTCTTCCAAAATGCCCTATTGGACACTCGATTTATTAAATTCAGACCGAAACTGGTATTCGTCAGCGTAAGAAAATGTGCTTCACAATTTTTCATTATCACATATACACTCCGTGTGAATCATGCTTTCCGACTTTACGAGCAGGTTGTTATTACGACAAACGAGATAAGTAACCTGGGGAATTGTCATTGTCTCATAATACGCCTCTTTCCTCAATTAGTCATGCACTGGTCATGCACAAGCTATATCACCACACTCAACCACGTTGGAACTAAACATCACATCACCTGACAGATTCTATGAACAAAAGAAGGGAACAACGCGTTGAATGACCAATAAATACATTTTCTTTATTTAAAAAAAATTGAAATTCCCCCGTGTGCGCGATTCAAGATGCCTTGATATTTGCAGTATTTTTAATTCTATCCAATACCCATTTCGCAATCACATAAATGTTACATCTGTTTCATAACACTGAACATACAACCGAAAATTTTGTAAAAGAAGTGTTGAAGTACTTATAGTAATAGTAATAGTGTAGAAAATGAATATATCTAAACTGTTGTAAAACGTACCATTTTTTTAAAAAGTTTGATACTGTCCACTGTCCAGACATGTATGATGTTATTACTTTAAAAATTGGCCAGTGTCCCCCTACTTCAAATACTTAGCTGCTAAGTTACTGTAGTAATTTTGTCTTTAAAAGTAAGAGGTTAATCAGTTAACCTTAAATACATACAATGTACTGAAATAAACTCCAAGACCTTTTATATATGTTAATCGCACAAAAATATTGCGCTCTCTCCTTTTCGATACCTTCCTGACAGTATTCCTGTTGGGTGCTCCCCGAATTACTCTGATATCCTGTGAGACAATCGTTTTTTTGTTTGTATAAATGACGACGACGACGACGACGACGACGACGACGACGACGACGACGACGACGACGACGACGACGACGACAATAATAATAACAATAATAATAACAATAATAATAATAATAATAAACAGTATTAAAATAGTACATGATATCAATTTTGGTAGCAACTAATATAATTTAACAATATTTGTACATTTTATGTTTAAATCTTGAAGGAAGAAGCCTTGAAGGAATCGTGAGGAGGGAGGTTTTGGACATTTTCCCCCCTATTGGCAAACTTAATCCTACTGACGCACCTAATGCATCTAGCAAATCCAGGGTGAAGGAAATAGAAATGTTTATGTTTGTTAGGCATTTTCTTTCTACATCGCAAGACGCGATATGCCAGTTCTTTTCTCTTTGCTTGAGCTCTAAACATGAAACATAAAATCAAATGGGATAAGAATTTTTATTTATTTTTGTGTTATTTTTTTTGGTCCATGGTTTCAACTGTTGGTCGCTACAATTCCAATAACTTGGCTGAATGAATCAATCAGCTGAATGAACTCGTTCCTTGTAAGACTTCCTGCTCCAGAAATATTCCGAATAATTGTTACTATTTCTAATTTAGTACAAGGAGCACAAACTCGACTACTGAAAGACGTGTGCCGCTGAATAATTACCAACTTATTTAAAGATCTATCTGTAACGTACATATTTTATTAAGGGAAAAATCCATATCTTTAATATTATTCTTGGAGGAAGACACCCCCAAAACATTGCACGTTTGCAATTTTTAAAAAATCTCGGATTTTCATGAAAATGAGTTCTGCGCCATTTTCGCGTCCTTTACGCTATCCGCAAACAAAGTTTGATAAAAAAATTTGGGGCCCTTTTTGAGTAAATTTTGAAAAAAATTTTGACGCTTCATGTAAAGTAGCCTCAAAAACCACAATTTCCGTTAGAAACTCCCAAAGTCTCGAGTTCATTCAGATCAATTGGGAATATCAATTTCGAAGAAAATCGGCTGAACGGTTGAAGCGTTGACCATACACGAAGAGACAAGACGTTTTGCCGTCAATCGATATTTCGGTACCAAGGACTCACAAAACATGGATTCTGGCTACACTGGAGGATTTTTTTATGCAACAGGATTTATCCACTTTTTCGTTATTAGGGGCCAGAAATTTGCGTTTTTCTGCCGAAAATTCGTTTTCCGGCACACGATTATATAACATTTTCTCACGAAGACTTTCATAAGGGTAAGAAAGTAAAAACACACACCCACACACAAAAGTGCTACAACACATACTTTCTCACACTTGTTCTAAGTTTTGTAATTTTTGAAAATTCAATAAGTTCAATGAAAATGAGAGCAAACAGAGCAAGAAAATATTTCACGCTAAATAACCCCATAACTATCCATATTTTCAAAGAATTGCACATAACTTTATTTCAAGATGGAATCTTTGAGCAACCGATTTCATTAATAATAATAATAAAAAAATATATTTGTCACAAAAATTCTGCATATGCCACGTGCAACAAGTCAGGATGTGTATACAATCATACAATGCACAATACATATAATTCTAAAAATTAAGAACAAGATATAAATTAAAATTCAATTCAATTCTCGTACTAAATACAATATCATGGAATGCTAATTAATTTTATAAATGCTAGTGTAAGAAGACTTAAGTTAAAAATCAATAATAATAATAATAATAATAATAATAATAATAATAATAATAATAAATTGATAGAAAGGAAAAAAGAGAAAAAAAAAGGTCTTCATAGATTTGTGCCTAGGCTTGGTCTGTCCTTTATATCCAACAACCAGTTTTGGGGGGTTTGAATACATGCAACAGAAAATGCAAAAATTATTAGTACTAGTTTATATTGATGTAGATACGTGTTTATGATGTATATATTCTTTTGTACTGTAGGATGTATGGTTTGGTATGGTATGGTTTAAAGCTTTGAGTTTATTTTTGAATGTGTGTATCGAGATTAAGCTTTTAAATTAGCTAGGAAGTTTATTAAATAGTGTAATGCCTTCTATAAGGGTCCTTTTTTGAAAGAGTGAAGTTTCACTGTGTGGAACATGCAGATTTCTTTTTTGTCTAGTATCATAGTTATGAACAGAATCCTTGTTTCCTAGAAGTGACTTCTTTGTGAAGATTAATATTTCAAATATGTACATGCATGGGAGTGGCAGTATTTGTAATTTTTTGAACAGTGGTTTGCAGGACTCACGTGTGTGTTTGTCATTATTCCCAATATTCATTTTTGGATGATAAAAGGGTGAATACTTTCTGGGGAATTTCCCCAGAATATTATTCCGTATTTTAAGTGCAAGTGAACATAGGAAAAGTACACCATTCACTACACATCTAAGTGAGAATTTGACTTCAGGATGTATATGGCATAACATGACTTGGTATGCTTGTTGTTTAGATCTGTGATATGGGTGTTACATTTTAGTTCATCTTGAATAGTCAATCCAACGAAAGTTGTTTTTTGGGCTATTTTCACAGGCATGTTTTTTTATCATCAATTACGCTGGAGGCTATTCTTTAGAAAATGGATTCCAAAAATTTAGGGAGTCAGTTTTACTGGCGTTAATGATGAGTTTATTTTCCTGGAACCATTTTACTTGTGCCTCTAGGACTGTTTGTGCTTCTTTTTGTGGAGTTTGTCTTAATAATAATAATATATATTTAATAATAACATATAATAGTATTTGCTTTAATAATAATATTTGGTCATCTGCAAATAGGACAATTTTGCTCTTCTGTAGAGTCAGGGGTATGTCATTGATAGGAATACTCGTAGTATGGGGCCTAGGATTGATCCTTGTGGCACTCCATAATTTATCATTCCAGGTTGGGAAAAACGGGCAGAAATCTTTTTATCTCTAACATGCTTGATTGTGACTACTTGACAATGATTTGAAAGGTAAGATTTAACTCATTGATGAGCAATGCCTCTAATTCCCAAAGTTTCAACTTTGGATAACAGTATGTGATGGTCAATAATGTCAAATGCCTTTGATAAATCTAGAAACAAACCAATGGGGATTTTGATGTAGATTTCATTAAATGTGCATGCCCCATTTGTGAAAGAACTCTCATGTCTCAAAATTGCATCATATTTTTTCTTATATTAAGCACAAATTAATTACCAGCGCTTAAGTGTGCAGCCTAAAATTAGAGAGGACAACTAGATTTCTGGACCCCCTTTGCCATAGAGTGTATTATTTACCTAGGACATATGAACTAGTAAACAAAGAAAAAATACAAAAATATAATTATAACTACTGAACAGTTAAAAATGGCCTCCCTGGATGCACACACATAATACTCTTTGTATAATATTCTTATCCTCCATCTGTGCTGTGATTAGTTTCTCATAAACTGTCAGACTCTATCATCTTTCCTTAGTGTATGATATACAAAGGATTATAAAGCTTTAAAAACATGATAATTTGTAACTACATTCCAAAGTCAAAATATTACTGGGTGCTACAACAATCAACACAAATGTCTAATAAACACTAAAATAAATGCACAGAAATGTTGCAGTTATTTTCAATGTGTAAAGTCAAGGTGATTTATGGGCAGGAAAATGGTCAAAATTAATTTTTTTAGGTATAGACCAGCAGTCGAAAAAATCTGAAAAAAATTCACAATTTGTGTCTTGAGAGACTTTTGAGAGTTTTTTTAAAGCTTAATTCACAGTTCTAAGACAGTAATTCTTTTTTTTTTTACTTTTTTTTTTTTTTTGCATTTTAATATGGTACCAAGAAAATATCAATTTTTTTTTTCTGATTTACTTATTTTGATTTTTCTGATTAAATTATTTTCCTTTCTTACATGTTTTTTCAATCAGAAAAAATAGTGTTAAGCTGACAAAATTAAAGCACGTTTTTGGCAGTAGAGGGGTGTGGGTGGTGGGACAGGGGCTAAGAAATCTCTCAAAAATCATACGTTTCGGGTTATAGTGTAACTTCTCATATGTCATTTTGTTTAGGGGAACTTTTAACATCTTATCCGGTGGTACCTTTCAATAGATACCCAAGTAAGCATTGTTCATCTTAAAAAGAAAACAAACTAAAAATACAGTCTCTGTAACACGCTGAACACTGACTGTCCCATGAAATTGTGGGAGAATTCTTAGCTGTTTTCAAGTATTTACAGCTCAGTGTAGATTAGCACTGCCTTGCATACAGCTGGGTTCATTGGCAGAGACAACTGGGACATCTTGCCTTTTTCTTCCATGAACCACCACTGATATCTCTTGCTGAAAACTTCGCAAGTCTCGTGAAAAGTTTTTGAAATTATAATGAAGTGGTGAAAGAAATATGGTTCTTCAATAACATTATCTCTGGTGAATTCAGTTGACCAACGATACCAATTGTTAAAGCTGATTTTTTTAAATGTAACTTCAATGAAAAATTTAATACAGCAAACTACATCTAAATTTGTTTCAATAATCAAACATTGTAATTAATTTTTGAAAACGGAAAAAACAAATTATCCTTTCAGATAGCTTTGGATTATATCTTATGGAAAACATACTACTGCATTTAAAACAGTAAGAGTTCTGTCTTTGAAAGTTCTGTACATCTGCATTAACTGTAGATACTGTTGAATAAAAAAAAAAAAATTGATTTATTTAGTCAAAAAACTTAAACTCAAAAGTCAAAAAAACAATAGAAACTGTTTGTAACATTTGGGGGAGAAAATTAACTGCACACGTTTTCTTGAGTTCCCGAACCCCTTCCCAACATTTGAACTATAAAAGTTGAAAGATGAATAAAAGTTATATAAAAAGTGAGAAACTTTTGTAAAAACTAGACATTTTCATTTCAGTTATAGAAAACTTATTTGCTTTGGCAAATGAACTCCAGATTTGATTCCTTTGTATTGCCAACAAAATGGCAATTCACACCCAGCTCTACTTCTACCACTACCACCACTACAAACACAAGGAGAGTTCAACAAAACGTGCGCATAGTGAAGCTACATTTATGTCCAGGAGCAAAACAAGCGGCCATCTCAGCATTTGCTCAATGGATCAGGGAGACTGGACAAAAACCTGACCAAGTAGGGAACTTATAAGAACTGTTCATTCATTAACCTGGAAAATGCTGTCTTATCAATAGAAAATAAAACCAAATGTAATTTCTTTAAAAACACAGACTGTTTCCATATTTTAATTTTTGTTCTCTAACATACACAATTAATTCCCAGTTACAATGAATATAACATGAGATTGCCATTATCTTTAACAATTTCCTATGACATAACTAACAGAACTTGGAAAGAATTGTAATGTTTTGAAAACAATTTATTCTCATTGAAGTCCTTCAAGAACTATAATTATATTCCCTTGCAGATAAATATTTCAATTGAAAATGTATTAATCTTGATTTATAGGTTGCTAAATTATTTTTAACAAAGACAACAATTCAACCCACCACAATCAACATTTATTGCTTCATGATCTGTACAATACTTTAAAATAAATAAACCAAGCATAAAATGAGAACACTCTCAACTATTCAGAGTTCACTTCTTTCAGCAGTGCCTAATTGTGCAAAGCAGCTGTATCCAAGCCTGGCTTGTCCTTCTTTGCAAAGCCAGAAAGCAGCTTTTTGATCTCAGAAATTGCCTTTCCTGGATTAAGACCCTGCAACACAATTACATGATTGAGCATTATCACACAATTACATGATTGAGCACATTCATTCCTAATTTGTGGGTTTGTGTTTGTATGTTTTTTTTTTTTTTTTTTTATTGAACTCTTAACAGTACTGTAGTATCTCAGACACTCATCTGCTTTTCGTATTTATTTGCTCGTTGAACCCAAGTATTTATTTCTGTTATAAATGATTCGATGTATTGTAACCTCTGTGTTATCTTCAAAATTACCACACCAATATTTTTTCGTGGACATTTAAAAATTTTAAAAACTTGACAAGAGCACAGAGGTCATTGGTATAGAAGTAAAAGTGACCAAGTATACTTTCACTGTTCTAGGTGGAATTTATTTTAAAATTGCAGTAGTTACAATAAAACAGGACTTTTTTGTTGGTTTCTACACTATGTACTTTTACTTGGTAAGAAGATCTTTTTTATTTTAAACGTACAGACAATATCAATGAGGTGTCTTATTAAAAAGTAGTTAACTTGGGAGATGGCCATTTTTTTTACCAAGTCAACACTGTGTTTACTATGCACTACATACATTTAAATATATTTTGCATGCATGAACATGCTTAAGTGTTCACAGAATGTAAATTGCATATGAGCAATGTTGTTGGTGGTATTATTATCTGCAAGGTACTATTGATTTTTTTATATATGTTTTTTGAGTTGGTTCGATTTGGTATTCTAAATCCACTAAAACTCCATTATATGTATTTCACATCACAAACGAGCATTTAACGTTTATCAATTTTTTATGCATATGTCTATAATAAAAGCTGGGACTGTATGACACCATGACCAGCCACGAGAATGATCACATCAACTTAGAGGAGTCCAAGGAATCTGTTTGCTTTGGTTTTAATGTTGTTTAGTTTTGTAGGTATGCAAAGCCTACCAGCCTTCCATTGGAACGTCATTTGAATTGTCAAGAATGTGAACAAAACCAGCGAAACTTTAGTGTCTACTACTGCCCCTATGGCTTTGCATAATGTTACGATGCCTGGTATGTCTTCATGTAAGGTTTGCCCACACTGCATGGTAAACTTCTAGCCTGTCTTTTACGAAATATACAGGAATATTTCATAAAAATGATTATGGGACAGTTGTCACTTTTTGATAGGGGAATTTATGTTTTAGATGCAGAGAAAAGCAAATGGTCTAAGATCAGACATTTCAATAGTGAGAACTTCCTTTTTTGAAAATGTTATGTATAGGGAATATTATATGCAATTATATTTCTAACACAACAGTTTTGACATAATATTGAATTTTTATTTTGCACCCAGATTTTAGATGCTTGGATTCACTTATTTCGTTGAAAAGATTAGGTGAAGCGACTGTCAGATAACTGAACAGATACGTTTTAAACTCTTTCAATGTTGTTAAAGGTTAGGCTTTGCACTTACTTTGGGGCAAGTCTTGGTACAGTTCATGATTGTATGACATCTGTACACAGAAAACGGATCCCGCAGCTTATTCAGCCTCTCCTCAGTAGCCTCGTCTCTTGAATCAATAATCCAACGATATGCCTGAAAATATACAATCATATTTCATTTCAAATTTGATTCATTCATATTTATTATTCAATTATTTAATCCTCTTATTATTTTCATACAAACAATGAAAAAAGTTTTCCTAATTTTCATTGTTTGGATCACATAAGATTTTTTTAACTTTATTGCCATACTATTTACTTATGTAGTAAAGAGAAAGTATTGTTGAAGTGGAAAGTGCTGATTTTTTTAAAGAAAAACACTTATTGTGGGGCTATGAATTCAAAAAAGTGGATAAATCTTGTGCCAAAATATTAAATTAAATCTAGTAATTTAATTTGGGGGGCCTTGATGCCAAAAAATTGGTTTACAGCAAAACCTCGTCTGTCCGTCTGTGGTCAGTGCTGGTGATTAAACCATTCAGATGACACCCCCCCCCCATCGCCGGGCCAAATTCATGACTCTGCCAATTGAATTTGATTTATGGATATATTCAATGAGCAATCACGCATTTCTACATGTCTCAGAAGTATTGTCCAAATTTTTTTATTACATTTTTGCCTGCAAAAAAAAAAAAAAAAAAAAAAAAAAACCCAAAACAACCTTCAAACATTTTTCAGCATCTTCTACAACTACAATCCTGAAGACAGAGCCTTTTTCCCCCTAATAAAATCTGTTCTTCAAAGGCAGATCTTTAAAAAGGTAATGTATGATTTTTCAAAATTATAATTCGTTTTCACATAATTATGTCAGCGTTTCACATAAGTACATTAGCAATTCTTAAAAAATGATTGTTTTAAAAACTACAAAATTTTTTCTCAATTAGAGCAAAGTTAGCTTATAAAAATGGCACAGGTGTCATTCTCAGAGTACTCTCTGAAATTTCTCAAAATTGCAACAAATTATTGTAGTAAAGTAACAAATTATTGTACAAAAGAAGAATATTGATGGTAGAAATTTTTTTCCTTCATGAAATCTGTTCTTAACAATTTGATTTTTAAATAAAGCCTTATAGGATTATTTGTAAATACAAGTAGTTTTCACATAATTTGTTCTTGAAATAAATGTTATTTATAACATTTTTTCTTTCTACACAAGAATGACTCCAGTTATTCCTTTAAATATTTTCCTAATATAGAGCAAAGGTTACATAAAAAATTGTGCAGTCGTCTCGTCTCTTGGAATTTTTGTAAATTGCAAAAATTATTAATAATGTGTGAAAATATGTTGGTATTGTATCACTAGTTTAAAAATACAAAGACAATTTGTTATCCATTCTCTGTTACATAAACCTCTATTATTTATTTAACATTATGTATACAAAAAGTGGAGGGTTTATAATATTATACGATTTTCAAATTATTAAAATGTTATTCTTAAAATTCTATTTTAACCATGAATTGCCCGAATTATTTTTTTTTTTTGTTTTTTTTTTACAATTTTACATTATTTGTATTATAAAAGTATACAAACATTATATGATATTTTGCATATTTATTTTCCAATACTAAATGAATTTACTAAAGGAAACACAACAACATCCTGGAACAATAAGAACATAAAGAAGAGATAACAAATATATTCTCTAAAGCAAAGCCTGTTTTGTCTGGATTACTCTATTGTAGAACATTTACAATGTATGTTTGTAACATTCTCTCTGTACTTTAGAACTTGAAGCAACTTTGACCCTGCACACATCTTTTCTATTTTCTGCATATGTTTGCACCCATTGTTTCACAAAGGATTGGGTATGCATGCAGATTTTCCTGGAGCTTTTATGGGAGTATTTTACTTCATGAGGTATCTTTGTGAATTTTCTTTTTTAAAATCTAAAAGAGTAATTATTGATATTTACATCTTTAGTCGCATTATGAACAGAAACCTTAATGTGCCACAAAAATAGGGACAATTTCTTTTTCCTAATGTAGTTCCTGTACACTGATACATTTTTGTTCACCCTGGTCACATCACTCCCATATGTTTATGTTTATTGTACTCTTGTTATTAAATGGCTGGACATGGTAGTTGGTTATTTTTTTTCTCATGCAGTGACCACCTCTTTGTTGAAGATACTGACTGAATGCTACAGCTTGTAGAGCCTGCATCAACTACGGAATTATCAATGTTGCTGCCTACTTCTCTCTAGGTATTCTAAATTTCTCACTTCAGATATAAAATTTCAGCATCAGCATGAAGCTGATGAATAGTAAGGTTATCCTGTAAGGGCTGACTCCCCCTCATCTCTGGAATCATCAATCAAAATTGATTGGTCAGGAAGGGCAATGAAAATTGGATCAGCTCTAACTACTATTGCCTTGGAATACAAAATCTATTGAACTGAAAGTGTCTCTTGAACTATTACATCTGAATGTAACATTTGAAATATTACAATGAAAATGAGTAATTCCTTCAAACTTTAACATTTTCAGCACCAGAGTTTCCATATCAACACAGGCAAATATATATTATTCTATACAATGCACAAGGTATTGAAACTAAATTTTAAAATAAAATGCTTGTACATTTAAGCTTCAAAATATATTTTATGTAATTTAACCTCAAAAACAATAAAATACTGCTATAAAATGAACTTGCTCAACATTGATGTCCACAATTTGAGCATGAAAAGTGTGTACTTCAGAAAGAGATTGCAACAAAATAGTTAATTGTGAAACATTCAATTAACTACAGGTCTGAACTTTCTTTCATAATGTGCCAACCTAAATATAATATATTAGAACTGTATAGATAAATTTAATGTTCCTGTAATGCATTCCCGTGCAGTCACACTGGGCAGTTATGTGTTGTGATAGAGGGACAGACAGACATACAGATAACAAGAAAAATAGCATAAATAAACCTCAATTTACAAGAATAAAAGCACTGAATAGTCTAAAACTGCACTAAAAAGATACTGGCATCGCCATAACCAGATTTTATCATGAAAAGTTTTTTCACAATAAATGTGAAGTATTCCTGTATTACTTAACACACAAGCACCACTAAAACACTACCTGCATAAGAACAGCAGGTCCCAGATACTTGTCACCGTTCCACCAATAGGAAGGACATGATGTACTGCAGCAGGCACAAAGAATACATTCATACAAACCATCCTAGAGAGACCAAAAGATACGTTAGGCATTGACAATACAGTCCAAACAAGTGCTTAGTAGGCAATTTATTTTTATATGAAACTTTAAAAATAATTCCATTACCAAAAATTGAAGACAATTTTATGAAATACAAACTATAACTATTGCTTACCAATTTCTTACGATCATCCACTGACTGAAGATATTGCTGTGTACCACTGGCAGCTTCATTATTACGTTGCAGCCAGGGTTGAATGGATCGATACTGAATGTAAAAATTGTTCATATCAGGCACCAAATCTTTAATCACATACATATGCGGAAGAGGGTAAATCTTTGTTGCCTTGTCCAGATTCGTATCAATTTTACTGAAACAAAGTTTCCATCAAATTTACTTCATTTTCCTAAAGACAATTTAGTTTTACAAATTAATTTATTCATTGTCTATCTTCTTTAAAGAAAGTATATTACCTGATGCAAGCCAGGGTGTTAATACCTCCAATATTCATGGAACAAGAACCACAAATGCCCTCCCTGCACGAGCGTCGAAACGTAAGAGTCGGATCAACTTCATTCTTTATTTTAATTAATGCATCCAAAACCATTGGCCCACACCTGAAATCAATTTAACATATCAATTTCTGCTAAGCAGAAAAAATCATATTCACTATTTCAAAATGTACACCATGCCAGATTTTCGGAATAATGAAGTTTTCATCCAACATACGCATTCAAATCAACCTGATATTCTTGCATCTGTGGCTTCTCATCAGGTTTGTCAGGGTTCCATCGATATATATTAAACTTCTTCAGACGGGGATTACTTGCAGCCTGAGCAGCTACAGCAGCTGTCGCATGGACATGTCGAACCTGAACATAATGAAACAGTCACATCATCCCTTAAATTTTCATCAGAGAAATAGTCATAACCAAATATGCTAGATATTATAAATGATCGCCTCAAAACTGAAGGAGCAAATTCAAAGTTTAAATTCTAAAAAATGGTTGATTATCTACATGAAAATAATACCAGTATAATTTTGATCGTTTTCACATTTTCATTTACAATTCCACAGGGTGGTTATCACAACAGTTCTTTGCATCATGGATTGTCACAGACTGGAAATCTTATCAACCCATCTTGCTTAGAGGGAAAAAACCTATATCCAAAACATCTCAATGCAAGTACTGATTAGCCAGTAGGAGACAGATATCTTATCAAATTATATCCATTACATATCATTATATTACAAAAAAAAATCTGTACCCCTTTAATAGAAGGAAAATTAGTGGTGAAACATTATACTTTATACAATGCAAGCATGGTAGATGGAATAGTAATCCCACAGATTATTAACCAGTCATTAGTTTCAATAAACATAATAATGGTTTTATATTCTGTCTACAACCAAGAAAGAAACAGCAAAAACATACAAAATAAACAAGAAAAAAATTAGGAGTAAAGTTTTAATCGGGAACAATGAACAATACTCTATCATGAAATAGTCCATTTTCTCAATTTCATTACCTCTGGCAAAACTGAATTCCTCTTTTATTTAAAGTACATGAAGAGTTCAAATGAACTGAAGTTCAATCTATAAAGATCATGATATATTCAATGCATGAACACTTATGCTCATATTTCAATAAAAATATATTTCCAAATTTCAAATTATTGCTATTGTATGCTACTTAGATTCAATTTAGTTAAAAGAGCCTGCAATTCACAGATAAAATGAAACTACATGAACTTACAATATTGATCAGGTTACTTTTAGAATAAATAAGTCCTCAATCAAAGTTGGCAATAATGAGATATTCTAGGCAGAGATGATTATCCCCAAATATCAAAAGCAAAAGTGGTCAGTTGAAACATACAAAATTCAAAATACTTTGTTTTTTACTGCAATAAAAGTCAGTAAATAGTGAATAGATATAAAACTTCCCTACTTGCAAAAAGAAAAATTCACAGGATTGGGATGTATAATCTTATGAAAATATGAAATGGTTTCCATTCTCATAATCTTTAACAAAATATTTCATTTAGATTTTTCTTCTATTCGACTGAATCACAGTACACCAAGAAGGATGCAATGGTTTTAAATATTGTACAAGTAAACACATTAAAATTTGACTTGTGTGTAATTAAAATATAAATAAGATTAAAGTTCATTGAAGACAATCAACTGAAGAGATCCATCAGTCTACTTCAAGACAAGTCTCTGATTTTGGTAGAAATTGCATCCTGCAAAACTGAATTCCTCTTTTATTTTAAGTACAAGAAGTGTTAAAGTTAGTCTACTTCAAGACAGAAGCTTCAGATTCTGATTTTTGTAGAACTGCTGCAATAACTTCATATATATGTCCTATTATATCTTCAATTAAGAAAATAACTATATTTTTAAAGAAAATTAGTGAAACAAAACTACTGCTACTTTTTTATTACAATGTTGCTTGGAATATGAGAAGCACCTATTTGATCTATGTATTAAAGCAAACAGCCAATAGAATGATATTAACACCTACTCATTATCACAATTTTTATTAATCAAATTTAAAGAGTTGCATATTAAATTGAAACACTGGGGAATTCATTAAAAAGATAAGAGTTAATCTTCCCAAAAGAAGTTTTATCAGTAATACAAAGTGATAAAAAAATGTTTGCATTAGTTATGAGAAATTAACTCATAAAAATGTATAATTAATGGATGTTGATCAAGAAGTTTTGTTGTTCTATCCACAATTCTGAGTAATTCTGGTAACTGCAATGCTAAGTAATGTTCTTCAAAGGCCGAAGATTCGAAAACATTAACCTAATTAATTATTGAACTTTTCATACACCATAGTCAATTAACTTGTAAGGCAAATCGGTAATGATAAAAATTAATTATAGGAAAAACATGTTGAAAAAAGGGGTCACAGCTATGAACTGACGAGAGCGCGAGTATTTTAAAGAATTATTAAATACTTGGTACGTAGCTCCCTTTCATTTGCTTAATAAAACAAAATTATGGTAGTACATATCAAATTACATAACTTTTATAGCAGTAAGCCTGTTGTCAACTTTCTATTAACAGATTTCGTATAAATAAATACTTTCCCTTACCTGTCCGAAAATACCTTTGCAAAGTTTCAATAGAGAAACTTCGCTTGCCATTTCTGTATATTTTCCTTCTGCAACTCAAATTTGCAGAACAAATATTACTCCACAACTGTGTATTCTCTGCTTCAGTCCTTCTGATCTCAAATGAGAACCTCCACCCACCACCACCACCAACTTCCAACCCACGAGACGAAACAGACGAAACAAGACCAACAGTGACCAGCAATCAGGAACGAAACAACACCCTGAATCAGGACAAATCGATGTGTCGACTCCTCAGCGGCGGGAATTTCAATCATATCTTCGTTGCGTACACGAGTTACGGAATATTTATTTATACATTAAGGGCATTATACGGGTCCTCATAATCGAGCTACGACAAAAAGCGTACGGGTCACGATTCAAAACGAAGGAACAGTTATCTTTGCGGATGATACGAAAATTCTTTGCAATAAAGAAACCGTAAATACTACAATATCCGATGTTTCAAATTTTCTCTATAATAACAAATTAATAATAAAATAATAATAATAATAATAATAATAATAATAAATGAAAAGAAAACGGTTTCAATGCAGTTTCCATTTCAAATAAACAATTCTGCACTCCACTGAAAATGAAGGGAGTGTCATTGACTGAAGTTAAGTTAACAAAATCTTAAGGTCTCTCAATTCAGTCAAATATCAAATGGAACGTCCATTTAAATGAATTGAACAAAAATTTAAGTTCATTATGCTACGCGTTCAGAATTCTTTTAAATTCAGTCAGTTTGTTCCTAAATCAAGCATTCGTCTTTAATTCTAAAAAAAACTTGTAAACTTTTTTAAAAAGTAAGATTTTCATTGAAAATATTCCCTAATGTTGGTCTTAATTATTAAAAATAGCATAATCGATTAGTGTATATATTACAAAATTGTCTAAAGAATACAGTTCGTTACGTTACATGTCAAAAAGATCTCAATTCTGCCGAGATACAGTGTCAAAAGTGAGAAAAGGACGAAAAACAAATTTTTCGATTTTAGGTCACTATGGTAACATAAACAATTATAGAAATGTGTTTTTTATGTTATTTTGGGAGTAGAATAAGATAATATCATCCTCTTCTAATTTGGCAGTGGGCCAATTTCACCTTTCGTATTCCGCTATACCTTTTGAAATTAAGAGCATCTATTTTCGTGTCCAACGCTATTATTTATTCTACCACCGCAGAGGTTAGACAAAATAAACTTAAGAATTTTTATTTTTGAAAAACCTTGTTTTCATTTTTTAATTGTCACATGGTTTACGCGAAAACGTATCGTATTAAAAAATGTACTTTACATCATTTAAAGAAATAATTTTGGAAAAAAAAATTGTATCTTCAATAATAGAATGGGAATAATTCAAAAACTTTTTAACTTATACAATTTCCGACATTTCATCACTTTTAAGAAAAATCGGATCTATGCCAATTTTATAAGCACACTTTTCTCTTCTCCCTTTATGTAGAGCAATTTTTTTGAGAAAATTTTGAAAATTTGTTAGGGGCTTGATGTTCAGTTTTCAAAAAAAGATCTGTTTCAAATGTGCAGTGGCTCGAAAACGTCATGATAGATCGGGAAATATCAGTTTTCAAGAAAATTCTGTGTATGGATTAGGCGCTAGTATTGTCCAACACATCATGGACTGGAGTTTGGGAGGTCATGTTCGGACGCTGTCAAAGAGATTTTGTGTACCTGTCAAACACCAACGCATGAGGAGATGCTCAACAACCAGAGAAAATCTCACATGTGTAACTTCTTTATAGTAGTTGCGATAATCCAAAGTAATTGGGGCTGATGGTACCTCGGATTACTCAAGAAAAATGGAAAATACATAACGGAATTTTCAACTACGATGTATAACGAAGTCAAATATATTGTGCAAGATACTATTAAAATTACACATGCATACATACACTCATGAGCGCGAACCGATTACAACAATGTAGTTGACACCGGTACCGACCGCCGCACACGTGACCATCGACACAGTGTTGCCAATCCGTCAAGAGCCAGCTCTAGATTATAGGTGCTTCCTTGTTTGGATGTCTTGACGCACATCAGACTTTTTTAAATCTCGGATTGCACGGAATCTCGGATTACCGAAATACGAAAAGACACTGTATTGAACTGCGACTCTATACGAAATTTCCCGCAGGCTCGTTGGCAAAAAGTGATCATTTTAGACCCCCGCACTCGTCCTAGAAGATTGTAACATTTATAATGAGACATTCTGTGTATTGAGATTTGGTTAGGTTAGATTAGATGCTAGACGCTACCCTGCTACTTAAGTGGAACTCGAAACTACACATATTGTCTCTCATAAGTTTTAGGAACTTCCTGGCAGCAGTCTGGTTCCCGTAAATCACAAATTATTTATTTGTTATTTCTCGTCACTATAATATGCTAGATCTTTCATAGCCTCGAATTGGCTAATGAGCTATAATTTGAAGTATGCTGTGAAGCGTTTTCTACTTCGGACTTAATATTTACCCATTTGGGATTATGAGAAAATTAACCGACTAAATCGGGACGGATTCGGCCATTGGGCGTAACATACATATATACAAATATAATCAAAACTTTCTCACGTTCCAATCTACTATCATCATAATATCAACAAAATTTAAAAAAAATCGTTTTTAAGTTATAAAACAAAAATATGGGTTCGGGGTATGTTCTCCATGATCGGCCGGTCTGCACGTAAATAATATAAACCTTGGGCAGATATGGGCTATGAATGGATCGCTGAAAAACCGAACGATAGTTAGATCAGTAGAAAGTAAAGATAGTTCTTTGTTTTGTTTCTGACTGCAAAATTCCATTTCATGTGGTAAAATTTTGAAAAATTTCCCCACGCGTCCATCTCGGATTTTGATGAAATTGAATATGTCGAGTCCCACATGTCTCGAAGGAAGTTTTGTGAAGTAGTGGCTTCGTAAGTGGGATAGATTTTGAGACACAGGGATTTTTTTGATTCCGTGCAGAGTCATTGTATAGTACAACTAAGATGTATCCAACGCTTTATAACATTTTCACAAATTTGGATACAATATTTCCTTTACCGTTATTGCTAAACAAATAAATCTGAGATAACTTGTACAATTTTTCCCACTCTATTTAATGAAGTAGTATGAATTTTGCCTTTATTATCTCAAAGGGTTTCAATACAGCAAGGTCACCAAAAAATGTTGATAATAAATTGCCTTAATATTTGAGTAAAACATGTGAAACTTGTCTCATAACATATCAACATTACCGTGTTTCTTAATTTATAATTTCAACATCCTAGTTCGTCATAAATTAAGTTTAATATTGATCATTTTGGCAAAAAGCCACAAAATAGGGTATTTTCAGCCTTCTTTTACAGAAAAGAGCCGCCTCTAAAGATACTTTGATTGGAGGCATTCAAACGTACAAATTGAGGCAAATTATGGCAAAATCCGACAATACCTTTCGTACTCAGACGCCCTGAAAGCAGTCAGGAAATTACACAAACTATGAAGAAATACAGCAAACCCTCGTTAATACAGACTCGTTTAACAGGAAATTGGCCGTAACACGAACAAAATATGGGTTCTAGCAAGGTAACATAGCAATACAGAAATATATAATGTTCGGATAACACGATTTTTTTAATATCACAAATACCGTTTATTTCGATATCTTGAAATGCGTGTTATTGTTTACCGTGCTCCGTCCCTGGCAGCGAGCATGCGACTCAAGAACAGTAGGTAGCGGTGGACGCCCTACGTACCTACTAATAAAAATACGTTTTGATAAAGGTTCTTCATATTAAACGGATTTACGTAAAGAATATCGCACCACCCACAGTGAACCGCCATTATGATCTTTCCCCCAAAACAACTTTGAGGTTTTTACACTAGGGTAAAATATCGGCAGGCCATTCGGTGGCCGAGTCGCTGAGGCAGTAGTGCCGTAGCGATCTCGGACCGAAGAATCGCGGTCCCGCCTCGGGTATGGTTGTATTGTGTTCGTCCTTTCACCCACTATCATCATATCGTGTCATCCTCACAGTTACCATACAAGCAATAGTGGTCGCTAATGACCTAGAAGTTGATGCGACCTTAAATAAAAAAAAAAGAAAGAAAATCGGACTTACAATTCAATTATTGTCACATTTTACTAATGGCAACAAGATTTGTAGTAGCATATTTAACTAACATAAAATAACCAAGTAAGATTTCTAGAAGAAAATTTTATGTGACACAAAAGCTCACAAATATGTATAAATTGAAAGGAAATTAAAGGTGCTTTTACGAAAAGTGCGAACAGTTTTACGACCATCCATATATTTCCACAGTGGCGGTTCCAGAAAGTAGTTTCTCAAGGGGTCGATTTTTTGTTTGGAATCTCGTAAATAATTTTCGGAAAATAAAAAATCTTCTGTGTTATCTGAGATAAAAAAGGGTATTTCATAATAAGAATTCTCTTTTGAAATTAACATCTTCGCGCATTACTTCTAAATTTTAAAAAATTGAAAAGTCAGAGAGTTCAACGAAAATTAGACTGCCCCATTGTTTTAAATGTCTCTCATTTTGTCAATGAAAAAAAAATAAAAAAAAATAAAAGAAAAACATTTGCGGCGTTTATTTAGAAAATGTGTATTTTAGAAATTGCATTAATTTCAAGCAGAAGTCACGAGAAAATTACTCTTTTCAAAAAAATTGAGCATGATATTTTTAAAGAGCTAATTTTTAAAACAGATTTTGTTTAAATAAAAAATCTTTATCACTAGTTTTATTGCTTTGAAACGTTAACGTTTTGTAATTTTCGAAAACACAGAGACTTCACCTGAACGACTAGCATAACTTTTCTTACTGTCCTTTGAATACGAAGGAAAAATATAAAAAACACGTTTGGAGTCGTTTTTTAGAAAATAATTGAAAACGCCTATATCTCATAAAAAAATTCGCGAAAACTAATCATATTTTCGAAAAATTGTTCATAGCCTTATTTCAAAAGCTGTCTTTAAAGAACAGATTTCATTCAGTAATACACTACCTTCAATACTGTATTTGTAGGAAGACGCCGAAAAAATTTGAACGTATGCAGTTTTTGAAATATCAGATATTTTAACGGAAATGAAACCTACAATTACTTCGACATATATTACGATTTCCGAGGACAACATTTTATCAAAACATTTGGAGCCTTTTTGAGAAAATTTTGAATATATTGTTTATGATT